AATATATACAGGCAAAACACCAGTGCACATAAAATAAAAATAAATCATTTAAAAAAAAATGGAAAGGAAGCCAAGCAGTAGTGGTGTACATCTTTAATCCCAGGATTTGGGAGGCAGAGGCAGGTGGATCTCTAAACTTGAGGCCAGGCCTGCTTGGTCTACACAGCAAGTGCCAGGACAGCCAGGGCTACACAGAGAAACAAAAAATACCCCCTGCCCCCCCACACACAAGGAAAAAAGAATGGAAAAGGAGAGAAGTGTATAGCAAACATGGTACCCAGGCTTGTGATACTATTCGAGGAACCTAGGAAGGAGAATAAATTTGGAGTAGGAAGAAGACCATAAATTCTCTTCTAGATGCTGAGTTTGAGATACCTGGATTCATGGGACTAAGGGGATGGCTTAGCAGGTTGTGTTTGCCATGCAAGTGTGAAAACCAAAGTTCAGATCCCCAGTATTCTACATAAATGCCAAACAGGCATAGTGGCCCACCTATAGTGGCCCAGCACTGCAGAGGCAGGACAAGGGAATCCTTGGAGCAAACTGACTAGATAGACTCTGTTACATACACACACACACACACACACACACACACACACACAGAGAGAGAGAGAGAGAGAGAGAGAGAGAGAGAGAATACACTATGTAAAGTTAGATAAGGGGTGGTAATGGAAGACGCCCTGGGAATAAGAACTTTTTGGTGGTCTGAAGGTATGGGGCTTAGAGGCAGGCAAGTGTTCTGGACTCAGAAGTAACTAGATCATGTTATTTTCTTCCAGACACAGAGATTGACTGGAAAGCCTACATGGCCCAGGTGGAGGGTGTCATCAATGGCACATATGACTACACACAGCTGCAGGGTGCCACCGGACCTCTTGTGTGAGTGAGGACAGGGGCTTGGGGAGATTGTGGGAGGGTACCAGGCTAACTGCCCTGGCCTAGGGTCATGTTTCCTTTCATCTTCCAGCTACCCCGCTGGCTTTGTGTACACCTTTATGGTGCTGTACTATGCAACTGGCCAGGGCACTGACATCCCCATGGCCCAGAACATCTTTGCTGTTCTCTACCTTGTCACCTTGCTGCTCGTTTTCTTGATATACCACCAGACCTCCAAGGTGAGTTTATGCTACAGGACCACCTTGCCCTGGCCTGAAGTGGGTGATGGCAATGATTCAGGTTCGGGGAGCTGACCTTGGTGCACTCACCCTTTAGGTACCTCCCTTCGTCTTTTTCTTCATGTGTTGTGCCTCTTACCGTGTCCATTCCATCTTTGTACTGCGGCTCTTCAATGACCCAGTGGCCATGGCATTGCTCTTCCTAAGCATCAACCTCTTCCTGGCACACTACTGGGGCTGGGGCTGCTGCTGTTTCAGGTCAGTGACTCCCCCTTCTGGCCCCTCTGTCACCAGAAGCATTTCCATGTCTCCCCAATGTTCTGCAACAGAGGGCATAAAGAGTGGTTAGATAATGGAGGTCACTCTGGACCTCCCTGAACAAGTCCAAGATCTGTAGAAAGTCCCTCTTTTCCCATGCTTTCTTCCCATCTTGTCCCCAATGGCATCCATTGTTGGAGTTGGCCCTTAAACATTGTAAATATGTTACTCAGTATGTGTTAGTTAGTCTGGATATCGGGGACTAGGTGTCATTCCCTTCCTCCCAGCCTCCTCCCGGGCTATCTTATGTCCCTCTACAAGTTCTGGATGGGGACCACATCCTGATGCTTGCTGGCCTGGGGAAAGAAACCTTTGGGGAGGTAGATATGTCTTTGCATGAGGTACACAGCCCAGGAGCTGATCCTCCCCATTTCCCTCCCTTGTCCATTGCAGTCTGGCCGTCTCTGTGAAGATGAATGTGTTACTCTTCGCCCCTGGGTTGCTATTCCTTCTCCTTACTCAGTTTGGCTTCCGTGGTGCCCTCCCCAAGCTGGCCATCTGTGCTGCCATTCAGGTGCCTCTTCATCCTCCCCTTTCCGATGAGAAAGAGCCACTTTCAGGTCTCCTTAAGTCTGTTAAGGCTTCCTCAAAGCCAGCAGACAAGAGTTTGGATTTGATTCTGAGCTGGGCAGCCACTGTCTCTGCTTTAGGTTCCATGGCTACTGAATTTGTCAGGCCTCTGAGAGGCTTCCTAAAGCTCCCTGCTTAAGACCTGGTGAAGCAGCTGGGCGTGGCAGCACACATCTTTAACCCTAGCACTTGGGAGGCAGAGGCAGGTGGATCTGAGTTCAAGGCCAGCCTGG